AAGGTATTTTCCATGTGAACTATTGTTTCCATTCTGCTATTATTTAACCACTAGTGGCCTGGTGCACGAAATTTGTGCACATTAAAAGGAAATTAATTAGAGGAAATATTTTAATATTGCTATGTGCCCTTTCTCTATAATACAAGTGTTAGAGATGAAAGAAAATTATGAATTTTATAATATGAAAATCTCCCTCCTGTCATAGTCTGGGGCATGCCACGGAACCCAGAGTCAAGTCCATGCCCACCTGCATACACCTCGAAATCGCATGAGACCCAGACCTGGCTGGCCCCACCCCTGTCAAGCCCCACTGGGCAGGGGATGCAGCCTCAGGTTCCCAGTCAGGCCCCCCCAGGCAGGGGATGAAGCAGCCTGCTGATAGAGCTTACGTCTGAGGACTGCGGTCCCCGCGGGCTTGGAGACCAGGTCACTGCCACGGAAGGACGCGGGGGCGGGCATCGGCCTGGGTAAGGGCAGGGGCTCCTCCTGCTGCGATCCAGGCAGAGCTGCCCGGACTTGGGAGCCGGATGGGGGCGAAGTGGGGCGGTTCGAGGGAACACTCCTGCCCTCCGTGGTGTCTCCTTTTTATTCAGGCAGATCCCCAGCGGCTTCTCACCCGCCCCCAGGACCCAGGGGAGAGCGGACAGATCCAGGTCCAAGCGACTAGTTTCAGCCACAGCAGGAAATGCAGGCAGATTTGTACTCGGACACAGATGGGTGGGAGCAGCAGGCCGTGTCCGGGTTCTGCACGGCAGCGGGACTTCCATCCATAGGCCGTGGCCAGGGCTGCCCTGGGGTCTGGCAGCACCGCAGGGCTTTGCCCCTCCTGCTCTCCATCAGGGGCAGTGGGGGGGGGGGGGCAGGTATGATCAGGAAGGCGCAGCTGGAGAACCTGAGGGTTCCAGGGACCCCTTCCCCACGCATACCTTAAAACTGAGACACAGTAAGCGCTTTGAAAGTCTCTGCCCACCCAACTATTGCTTTCCCTGATTCTGATACGGAGGATCCTGTTTTCTCAGTTTATGTTAAAGTTTTTAATAAATTTCTAACTTCTAATGGCCTGGCTAAAGTCTGAAAGCCAGTCTTTCCCTGAGGTTTGTAATTGGGTGAGCTCCCAACAGCTGGCTTCAGCTCGGTCCCAGTCCTAGGATTTAGGGGAGGAGCTGCTTGGAGGAGGGGTCATTTTGCTTAAATTTTATGGGCTTATAATGCCCGTTTGGGGCTCTTGCTTTGGCTTAAATCTTTGGCTGTTCTTTCTGCCAGACTCACTTCCTGCCTCTCCTGGACAGAACAGGGACTCCCCCACCCAAGGGGTCTTGCACTCCTCTCCCAGGTCCCTCTGACTCAGTCTGCACAGCTGGCCTCTCACATGGACCAGGAGCCCAAACCTCACTCACTCCTGGGTTTTGCACCTCCTTTGAGGTGTCATCCAGCCATTGCAGCTCCTTCCCTGGTTAGTCTGAAACCGAGCTCATATTTTACTAGTAGAGGAGGCAGGGGGAAAATCCAGGAAAAAAAAAAAGAAGACCAAGAAAAAAGAGAGAAGGGAAACAAGCCAATCTGGCCCAACCTGCATGGCCCAGTGGTTGAGCATCGACCTATGAACCAGGAGGTCACGGTTGGATTCCCGGTCGGGGCACCTGCCTGGATTGCAGGCTCATTTCCCATTGGGGGGTGTGCAGGAGGCAGCCGATCAATGATTCTCATCATTGATGTTTCTATCTCTCCCTTCCTGTCTGAAAAAAAAGAAAAAGAAAAGAAAAGAAACAGGCCAGCCTGGATGTGTGTGTCACGTCCTTTGCACCCCAGGGCAGCTTCTCTAAGGTCCTGTCAGTGAGACAAACCGAAGAGCACTGAGAAAGGCTGTGGGCTGGGAGAGGGGCAGCGAGGCCCCTCCTGCTCTGGTCCTGCTTTCCCTGCTAATGATACCCAGGCGTGGGGGTGGGCAGGTCACCCTAAAAATCTAACCCCGGCGTGACCCTGTAAACTGACCTTTTTTGGCAGCAAGGCTCCCTGCAGCCCACTTCTCAGATGTAGTCTGGGTCTGTCCACGCCCAAATCTATGCCTCCTGGTCTCAAACCTTCACAAACGCTCAGTCTGGCTTCTTCTTGCCTTAACCCCATTTTGTGACGGACCCATCCCTGGTTCTCAGCACCGTTCAGTTCACACAGCCGACAATGGGGCCCGCAGGTCTCAGTCACACTCTGGAGATTCCAAAATCCTTTCTGCCTTTGTCTCCCAGGCTCCGCCACCTTTCCTGCCCTTTCTGTGGGTCTTCCTCGGCTGTTCTGGACCCTTCTACGTCCCCCCACAGCTCATTCTGGCCAGCCGACACCTGGCCCCATGCCTTCAGCCTCCACTCTCAGCTCAGCCAGAATAAGGACGTGGACAAACAGGACAGAGAAATGACAGCAAGGGCCAGATGTTGAACTCCTCGGAGGGGTGCTGGAAGGAGCAGACTTGCGGGAGAGGAATCGGGTGCATTAGAAAATGGTGGTGAGATGGGATGAGGGTGGGAGAGAACTTGAATTTTTGAGGGACTTGGTGATCTTCTCAAGAAAAGTATCACTGGGTCACTGTTGAGTGGTCAAAATTGAGGGCAGAACCTGACTGGCGTGGCTCAGTGGTTGAGCATTGACCCATGAACCAGGAGGTCAAGGTGCAATTCCTGGTCAGAGCACATGCCTGAGTTGTAGGCTCCATCCCCAGAGTGGGGCATGCAGGAGGCAGCGGATCAATGATTATCTCATCATTGACTTTTCTAACTTTCTCTTCTTCTTTGAAATCAATTTAAAAATGTATTTTTAAAAACATAAAAACTTGAGGGCAGAAGAGGGAAGTACTTGAGTGACCCCAGCAGGGGGCAGGTAGACACCCGGAAACCCCCCTGACGTCTTTCTGTCTTGGTTTTTGTCTTGTCTTGGCTGCTGTGTCTCTTTGAACAACGGCTTTCGGATGCTGGGTGTGCGCATCTCTCCGAGTCTCTCTGTCTCTAGGCCCCCCTGCCTCACTGTGCCTGAGATCTGTCTTTTCCCATTTCCACCTCCATGTTTCTCTCTCTGGGTCTGCCCTGTTCTCTCTCTGTGATGCTAAACAGAACCAACCCTCCGACTTCCCTGCCAAGAGCTTTGGAACTTCCCAGGAGCGGTCGCACTTCTTCCCTTGGCTGCGCTCTGAACTGAACCAGTGTGTGGCCCTGAGGACAGACATGGGTTCATTGGCCCCCCCCCCCCCCCCCCCCCCCCCTGAGGATCAAGCCTATAACCCGGGCATGTGCCCTGATTGGGAATCTAACCGTGACCTCCTGGTTCATAGGTCGACATTCAGCCACTGAGCCCCGCCGGCCCGGCGGGTGTAGGGTCTTGATCACTGATGAAGACCTGAGCTTCCATGTTTGGACCTTTCCAGGGAGTGGGATTCCCCTACAGAAGAGAGCGTGGAGGCCTGGGCCTAGCAGGGGCAGCAGGCAAGGGGAGAGGGCCGCCCCTTTGTCCCTCTGCCCTTTCCTTAGCCTCCGGCCAGTCTCTCTGGCCGTGCTGATTGCCACGTGGAAATCTCTTAATCTCAGACCTCCTGCCCCTCTAGAGCTGCGGAGGAGCCGGAGGGCCCAGCAGTCTTTAGGGCGAGCCTGGAGGGAGGTTCCCAGGGGCTCCCGTGAGAAGGCGTGATGCACATCTGGGAGGTGTCTTCTGGTTCCTCCCCTGCTGCTCCCACAGGCCCGACACGCAGCTGCACTGCAGCTCAAAGGTTCCCAGCCTGGCCTCTGGGACTGAAAGCCAGTGCAGGTCAGGGTCCAAGTCTCCGAGGCCGAGAGCCAGTCCCGCTGCCGCGGGGCCTTGGGGTGTCCAGGAACCAGAAGACCTGGCCCCAGCTTTCCAGGGCTGCCAGGGAGCGAGCCTCTGGCCAGGCCGCGGCCCTGCCTGCTGAGCCTGAGGGGGAGCTCAGGGCTGGGACTGTGGGTGCTGGTGGGGAGAGAGAGGGAATTGGGGTTCACAAAGATGAGGGGAGGCTGACAGTAAATTCAAAAGAAAATCTGCCCTCAAATGACGGGAACCTCAGTTCCTCCAAAAGCCACCTCCCCTGTGTCCTCTGTGGTCCGGCCTCCCCGCTTGCCCGGCTCCCGCCCGCCAGGCTCTCACAGCCCTGGTCCTGGCTCTCTTGCTCAGGGTCTCATTTGCTGCCGGCAGCTGCGCTGGGGCTGGGGTGACGCTTCATCGTGGGGGGCCAGGCGGGTGGTGGCCCGAGCAAGCCTGACGGCCAGGAAGGAGCCGTCCCGCGGCTCCCAGCCGAGAAGCTAGAGGCCTGTTGCTGCCTGGAGACGGAGAGGTGGCAGGCTGCGCCCCTGTGCCCAGCAGATGGCCTTCCTGGGAGGAGCCTGGCAGATGTGTGGCTGGATGGAGACGGGGCGCAGGGGGGCACAGCTTGGGGCCACTCAGAATCCACTGTCAGCAGATTCACAGGACCCGACCCCCCTTTGCTCTTACCTTCTCCTCACGGGGGTGGGGGCTGTTGCTGTCACCACGTGGAAGACTCGGTTCCACGCAGCTCCTCCTCTTGTCCAGGACCTGTTTCTCCTAGTTCCAGAACCTTCTGAAAGTGCCAGCTCACCCAGAGGCACAGGACAAAGACTCTCGGCATCTGCCTCAGCCTCGGCCCTGCTTCCCAACAGGTGGGGGTGCGCGGCCGCGAGTGACATGGGGGCTCCGCACACAGCAGCCCACCGAGAAGCAGGACCCACACATGCATGGTGCTCAGCCACTCCTACCCCCGTGGCTCTCCTGCTTCCGAGTAGGACCCGCCCCCTGAGCTCTGAGGGACGCCTGGGGCGACCAGGAGGTGTGGTTGTCACGGAGGGATGGGCCATGGGCCTTGGGACAGGCTGGCGGGAGCAGCACCGCACGTGGCCACGGGAGACGGAATCCGTGGAAAACAGGACGACCCTCACCCGGGCAGCGACGCTGCGGCGACGGGAGGTGTTTCCGAGTGGAGATGGGGCTGGAGACCCTGTGTTCTGTGCGGGGTCCCTCCTCACCCTCCACGGGTGAGGAGCGTCCTAGGGGGGAGCAAGAGGGGTGGCTTGGGGGATGGAAGCCAGTCCAAAATCCCTGATCTCCCACCACAGTAGCAGCACCCCAGACCTTTCTGCACAAAGTGCAGAGACCAAGGCAGTGAGCCGACGGGACAGGGAAACAGCAGAGAAGCAGAGGACAGAACGGGCGGGCAGACCCGGCCCACACCTCGCAGCTGGCTCCCCTCGGCCGTCTTACACCCCCATCTCTCCCAGAGCCAGTGTCCTCCCGCCTCTGACACCCTCAAACCTGGGATCTCACCACAGACAAACTCTCCTCTGCCCCCAACCCTCCTCCCAGCCCCTGGCGCCTGCCTCCCGCCGCCCACTCAGTCTGACCCTCACTCTCCCTCTTCCGGTCTCCCACCCGCCCCGCCCATCCCTGGCCCTGCCTGACTCACTTCCAAGTCCCATTGACACAAACAAAAATTTCAGCACAACCCACTCCAACCGGTTTGGCTCAGGCGTGAGCTGCCACAGGGACAGACGGGCTACGGGCGGGCGGTGCTGGGCCACCTGCAGGCAATGGGCACCGAGGATGCGGCAGCTCACAGACGGGAGGGGCGGGACGTGGAGGCGCAGAGCGCGCGCGCTCTGCTCGCTGTGTCTGTCTCTGCCGGGGGAGGGCTCCTGGGCTGGCACAGCGTGGTGCCCATGACCTGCCGGTGGAAGGGACTCTGGTGCCTGGCACCAGGCACGCATGTAGGGCACCACTCAGACGTGCTCGTGATGAAGATGCCGCCGTGGCTTGAATTGCCCCCATTCTTAGGACCCAGAATGCGGTGGGGGAGGATAGGCAGGGAGGCGTGAAGGGCGTGGGGGTTCTGTGAGGAAGGGAGCGCACAGCCAGGAGGCCAGGCCCTGGTCTGGAGAATCCTCCCAGCCAGCTCCTTGCAGCTCATACCCTAGGACCTGCCTCCGCAGGCTTCATCCCAGACAGGGGAGCAGAGGCCTGAGGGGACACTGCATCCAGCACGGGTGGGGACGCCCAGGGAGGGCCAGGTGAGGGAGAGAGAGGCCCTCCCTAAGCTGGCACCTCAGCATCCATCTGGCCTCCCAGCACCTGGAAGGCCTCCTCCGTCCATTGCTCCTTACGGACGTGGGGGACTCTGACGGGCAGCACTGTGGGGGCATATGGCGAATGGGGAAGCTGACAAGACACAGGGCCTGGGTACGGCCTGTGAGCAGACTGCTTTCCCACCCAGGCCTCAGTTTCCCTGTGGCTCCCTGGTCCCAGAGGGTGAGTCCGTGGGAAGGAGAAGGCAGGCAGCGGGGCCCACGTGAGACAAGGACGATCACGACACCGGAGCCCTCCCTCCCCGCCCCCACCCTGCCCTGACCGCCTGCAGCGTCAGGGTGGGCTGCTCTCGGCCCTAACCCCACCCTGGCCTGAGCCCTGAGGCTGGAAGGGGCTCACCAGTGGCCGTGGGGAGAAACTGGGAGTTTGGGATCCAGCCTGGCCCCTGCTGCCCTTGAAGAAGAGGTCACAGCCGTGGTCGTTGCTGAGCGTGGGACCTAGAGCCAGGGCGCGGCCACAGGCACCCCTCACTCATGGCTTCATGCCGCGAACAAACATGTACTCAGTCCCACTGCACGGGGGAGGCTGTCCCGCATGGGCCGCAGACCAGGTTGTAACGCAGCCTGACTCCAAGGCGCTCACAGCCCGGCCCCACCCTGCCCCTCGCTGCACTTTCGCCGGCTCCCGGGCACACATCAGGCTTCAGTGCCACTTGACTTGAAGCTGACAATTTAGCCAGGAGGTGAGGTGCACAGACGACGAGTGAAGGGCCTGCCTCTCGAGCCGGAGCAGGAGGCCGCTCAGATCGAGGTGGCTCTGACGGAGCCCAGACGCGGGTCTTGTCCAGTGCTATGAGGTAAGTGTGCAACATGACCCGGTGATGATGGGACGGGACGCGTGCACGCCGGGGATCCAGGCTGGTCCAGAGGGGTGGCGCGGAGAGGCCGGGTCACTCCCTCGCATCTCCTACATGTGGGTGGGCCAGGCGGTCACTTTAGTTCCTTCTTCAAGGACTGAACGAGCTCCCTACCTCCGGGGGAAAGGTGTCAGCAAACCCAGAGAGGCCTCCCGCACCCCTTCCCCTCCTGCTCCTCCTCGGAGGGTGGGGGTGGGTGGGCAGGCACTGTCCTTGGTTCTGCCCCCCTCCCCCGCCTTTGGCCGAGCCCTCCAGGAGATGGGACCTGCCAGGGCCTGGGAGGCCGCCGGCCGGCAGGGTGTGGGATGCTCAGGTTCCTTCCTACCCACAGGGCCTGGCCCTGTTCCTCCAGCCGGTGCCTCTCTCCTTAGCCACCGGGGCCTCTGCCTTTACAGCCCCTTCCATGCTACCAGGTGAAGCCCGGAGCTGAGGTGGAATCCCACCCCCAGGTCCTCCCCTCCCTCCCCAGCGCCCATTAGTCCCGGCCAGGGGGCGCGGCTGCAAGCCTCTGTGCCAGGCCCGGCCCCCAGACGCACCTGTTCTGACCTGCTGAGCAGGTTCCCAGTTTCTGCCGTAGCTGTTGGCCACAGCGTGGGAAGCAGCTCTGGGGGAGCTCGGAGCTCCCATCACGGCTTCTGGGGGGGCAGCTGCCGCCGGGTGCAGAACGGGGCCAGGTCCCCTAGCGGGAGCCCCAGGGGGACGGGCAGGTGCGCCAGGGCCCGAGGACCTGTGACCCTCCTGCCTCCGGGTTCAGTGCCCTCTCCAGCCCTAGAGCTGGCGCCCAGGGAGAGCCCGGTGGCACTTCAGGAACGCGGGGCAGCTCTGCGTGGGACCAATGCCCCTGGCCCTGGGAGCCGACATGCAGGGGCCTGAGGCCTGGCTGCTGCTGCTGCTGCTCCTGGCGTCACTTGCAGGTAGGCCCCCCGGAGCCCACAGGACCCTGGCTTCTGGGCCACCAGTGCCCCCCCCCCCCATGAGGCTGGACTGAGGATCTAACCTCTCTCTCACCCACCTGCTGGCCCTGCCTCCCGGGGAGTCAGGTAGCTCTTCCCCTTGGTGTCCCCTCCTGCTGGGGCCTCTGGGAGGAGAGATGAGGTGACGGGCAGGGAGCAGGGTGGGCTGGAGGGGCCCTTCCACCAGGGTCCCCGGGAGGAGCCCTCACCTCCCTGCTGAGCCCGGAACTGTGAATGGCACTGAGGCTGACTCAGGGGTGAGCTGGTTCCAGTCATGGGGTGTGGGGAGCTGATGCCCAGAGAGGGACTGGGGTTTTCTCTCCTTCTCTCTCCCCGAGTCCCAGGACCAGGCGCCTGGTGGGGGCTCTGGCCCCTCTCTTCCCCTGGACACACTCTTCGGTCCCAGGTGGTAATGAGGTGACTACTCAGATGGGTTGGGGTCTAGCTACGTGTGGTTCCCTTTTGCTCATTCCTGTCCCCATTTCCTCACGTAGACGCCTTGTATTTCTGCCGTCTAATGTCTATGGAGCCGAGATAAATGACAGGAACTTCTAAGCTTCCGATGGGACAAGACCACAGTGGGCCATGCCCAGGGCCACGCTTAACTGAGACTCCTTTCCTTTGGGACACGGGGCCTGCCTGCACAGGACGGTCTCTCCCCAGTCCCGGGAGCAGCCACAGAGCCTGGTCGTCCAGCAGGGCCCTTGCTTCCGTGCCCAACAGGCGGTGGCCCTGCCTCACCCCAGCTGAGGCTGTCAGGGCAGCGAGCCTGGCTGTGTGGCCCAGCCTCCAACCACAGGGCACTGAGCTTCTACCCCCACCCGCACCCCCATCTTCATCGCCCTTCGCCACAGAGCCCTTCGCACTTGCTCAGGTTGCCTGCAGGACCTACCCACACCTTGAGGATGGGGTGGCTGTGTCTCAGGATGGGGCAGATCAGAGAGGTCGCAGTCCCAACTCCCTCACTGTACGGAGGGAAACTGAGGCAGAGAGGCCCTCAGGGTTAGAAGCAGGACGTCCTGAGCCAGACCCGGTCCCTGCACCCTTCCATGGCCCAGAGTTCTTTCTAAGAGAAGCCCAGGGAGGGCTTCCAGTTAGGGCGTCCTTGGCCTGGCCCAGGCCTGACAGACGGACAGGGGATGAGGCAATGGCGGGAAGCAGCCTGGCTCTAGGCCCCGAGGCTGGTGCCCAGGGAGCCGCTGCGCCGCGGGCACCGCTGTGAGGCCGGCCTGGGGCTCCGCCGCGCAGCTGCCCCATCGCTCAAGCCTCTGTGTTTCGGCTCCCCCTCGGCGGCTCCCGGAGACTGAAGGGTTTCTTGTCTCTGAAAAAACCTTGAGTTCTGCTGTTTCTGCTCTTTATTTGTTAGGGGACCTTGGGCAACACAGACGAGTCTTAGACCCAGAGGCGGGGGTGCCTCCGTGGCTCCAGCCCTGAGGTCCCGGAGTGAACGGTCAGGCCCGCGGAGGGCGGTCTGGCTGCGGTGATAAAGGGGGTCCTGGCTGCCTCTGGGGGGGACCCAGGTTTCATCTGCCTGCTTTTGTGCTACAGTGACAGAGCTGAGTACCCCCCGGGCCCTGACAGCGCTGAGCCCCAGGGCCGAGCCCCACCCCTGACTGAGGAGGAGGCTGGGGAGGTGCCTGCACCAAGGCTCTTTGTTTCTCTTTAATGAGATGAGTTTCCGGGTGAGGTCCCCTCCCTTCTCCCTCCCCCACCTCCTGCCCTGGGCGTGAGGGACCCGTGTCTGCTGACACCCTCAGTAGCTCTTCTTCCCAGCCCCGTCTGGCCCCAGTGCGCCCGCAGGGCCAGGGGTCGGGGCTCGCCAGTCCCGCCCTCACCCTGAGGGGGACCAGCTTTTAGTCTGAGGCTGGTTTCCTAGAAAGGGAGGCGCATCCCTGCTTTTCTACTCCTGTGGCGGGGCAGCCCTTTCCTGTGGGATCTTCCCCACCCAAGGCCGGAAAAGGGGGCAGGGAGGACACCCCAGGACCTCAGTCCTACCCTGGTGCACGGAGATGGCGGTGACGGGCCATCGCGGAGCTCACGGCCCCAGCCTCTAGACTGCAGCTTTGGGGTCCTGGGGGCCCCAGCAAAGTGGATGGTTAAGCCTTTTGAGGGAGAATGCCTGGGCTTTCTGGCCTCTGAAACGTGCCCTTCTGAACCAGGTCTAGGGAGGAAGGTGGGGTTGGGTGGGCAGGAGCCGAGTCGGGAGGGAGCCCGTGGCTGGACCTGGGAGCAGAATAAAAATGGAAGGTGAGGCTGGGAACTGGGGCCACAGCCTGGGAGGAGGGTGCACGGTGGGACCACACCGCAGGCAGGAGCCTCCGGCCCTGGTCTTTCCCATCATTCTCTGCCCCTCCCCCCACTCACCTCAAATTGGTGTGTGCTGAGAGCTGAGGTGAGGCTGGGATTTGGGTGGGGCAGAGCTGGCCACACTTGGAGGGTGGCTGGCAGGATGGGGGGCGGGCGGGTGGTAGGATCTCAGGAGTTTGGGAGAAGCTGAATTCTGGGTCTCCCACCCACAGTGTGGCTGTTTGGTGACTCAGCCGGGCTCAGACTGGCTCCGGGGGGTTTAGAGGACTTATCTGAGCTGGAGCTGCGTCTGGGCCGAGTGGGGCTGCCTCCAGGCCTGCCCTGCCCCATTGTTCTCATCGCCCAGCTCCTGCGGCCCCCTCCCCAGACGCTTATCGGTGGGTGGGCACTTTGCCCAGGTTGCTAAGCTGGGGGCTTAGGACCGTGGGAGGGAAGGAGGGAGGTGGGTGAGCAGGGGGAGATTCTCCTGGTTTTACTGAGGCCAAGGTTGCCCGGGAGGGAGGGGAGGAAACAGGGCTGTGCTGCCGTCCGGAATGGGGGCTTCAGGGCTCCCCTTCCAGGTCCTTTCTCCCCCAATCTCACCTGTGTCTTCCACTCTCTCCCATGGAGGCTGGGGCGGGGGGACAGCGTTAATGCGGCTGAGACCCTGGATGACTTGGACCTTCCCTTAGCCCCAGGCAGCATCCTCCTCCCACCAACCCACACCAGACACCCTCACCCAGCCCGGCCAGACAGGGTTGCTTTGGTGGTGGCAGCAGACATTCCCAGGGAGAGGCCTCCTCAGGCCACAGGTGCTGGGGGCCCTGGGGAGTGGCTGGGGGAGGAGGGGGAGTCCTGAGGACAAGGGTGAGAGAGCTCTTGTTCTGTTGTTGGGGAGCCCGTGCTGGCAGCTGCCCAGGGCATCCCCGAGAGACACGACTTCATTGCTGGGCCTCCACCTGAGGTGACTCTGCCCTTAGTGAGGTGGGAGGGCACGTGAGGGCCAGTCCGGACGGACACAGCCACCCGCCACCCACCAGGCAGCTGGGACAGGGTGGCATGCACACACCAGGGACCCACATCCAAATATCCGCCACGCGCACTGAGTCCGTGGGACAGGGGTATGTCACACACTCGTGTTCATGCCTTACCACAAGCACATACACTCATGAAGGTAAGGCATGAACACGAGTGTGTAACACCCCTTCGTGCAAGGAGGCAGCCTCACATGCATGTGAACCACAACCAGAGCAACCAGGCCCTCACCCAGAGCTGCACGTCCAGACCCACAGGCTCACATTCGCCTCCTGGTCCTCCCTGACCCTCCCTGACCCTCCCTGTACCCCGGGAATGCTGGAGGGAGAGGCCCCTCCCAGGAAGAGCCTCCCTCCCCAGAGACACTCTGTGGCGGCAGCCTCAGTCCCCTCCCGAGGTCACAGGCCAGGCCTCACAGCCAGGAAAGAAGCTCAGGTGGGAGCAGCCAGGACTGGAGGACCTGTCTGGGAGCTGGTGGCGTGGGGCCTGGCCGGGTGGGGAGGCCGAGGGCAGGGATCCCGTCGGGCCAGTTGGGCCAGTTCTTCCCCTTGCGCAAGGTGGTGGCTGTGGCTCCTCAGCGCGTCTGAATCACCACGGCTCCTGACCAGGTCCTGGGCTCTGGGAGGAGGCTGGGAGGGCCAGAGGGAGGAGTGCAGCCAGCAGAGGCCACGGGCCGCAGCAGTGTGCAGCAGGAGGGTGGTGGGCCTGGCCTGGCACTGGGTGCTCACACAGTGACCTCACCTGGCAGGCGGCTCTGGTGACATCATCCTTTGCTCTGGTGACATCATCATGCGATGCCAGGTAGGTGCTGGCTGGGAGAGAGGAGGTTGCTCTGCGCTGGCGGCTGAGCTCTGGGTCCATTTGAGCCCAGCTCTCTCCCTGGAGGATGCACTGAGGACAGTGGGGCTGTGGGAGCACCGAGGGCTTTCCTGCCTCACTGGTCCTGCGCAGGCCGTGGGCTTGTCTCTAGGGAGTGTGGGTCTTGGGCTCACAGTGGGGATGCAAGGGTTGGACTCAGGCATGTGCTGGGCACTCGATGCCTGTTGTGCTCTATGAAGTCATTTTGGGGGGAAATGAGGGTGATTCGTAGGGAGGGGGTGGCAGATGGTTGGCAAGTCTCAGGAATGAGTGAAAAACAGGCCTCTGACATTGTCCCAGAAACAGTCTTTAGAAGGGCTCTGTGCCTGGCTGAAGCACTGGACCCCTGCGGCCTGCAGACAGCAGTGCTGGGCGCGGGGGACGTGCGGGAAGCCCACCTCAGGCCTGCCCTGGCAGCCCTGCCTTCCTGTGTCCAGAGGGTGTGCTGGGAGGGGCGCAGGCGGTTAGCTGGACTCCCAGGCTGGGCTGGGTGGGACCAACATCAGCTCAGGCAGCTCAGGGCCCTGGCATCCAGCCCTGCAGGTCTGTCCTGTCCCTTTCAGGCTCTCCCAGCTCCCAACAGCATCCCCCTCCCCCCTGCAAGCAGGGCTGCAGGCCCCTCCCTCTGCCCCTGTTGGGCTCTGCCCCTCGGACCCTCGGACCCTCGGATCCCTGTAGTTGGGCTTCTCTGTCTACCCCCCATGCCCGTCCACCCCTTTCTTGATCGGCTGCCTCCTGCATGCCCCACACTGGAAATCAAGCCCGCAGCCCGGGCCGGTGCCCTGACTGGGAATCTAACCGTGACCTCCTGGTTCACAGGTCGACGCTCAGCCCCTGGGCCCCGCCGGCCGGCCTCCACCCCTTTCTTTTTTCCTTTGCACGAAACCCAGCTAACCAGTCTGTCCTGCCTGCACCCCAAGGTTGGCAAGGTTGCCATGTACACCCCTCCCTGCCTAGCCCAGCCAAAGACTGCTCCTTCCTCCTGGGCCCACCCTCTCCCCCTTCTGCCTGTCTCCCCTCGAGTCGCTCATTCACTCATCCAGTCATCAGTAAACAGGGATTGAGTATCAATTATGAGCCAGGAATGCAGACCACACGCTCCCATGGGAAGCACTGAGTCAGAATCCACGTTTCCACGGGTGATGTGCGGCCCAGCCTCTCCTCTGAGGAGCTCAGCCTGGTGGGAGGCAGCTGCAGCCCCGGGGTAAACGCTGAGCGGGTGAAAGCAGGCGGCGGGCGGGCGCCGGCACACAGGAAGGAGGGCATCCGGGCGCCGGGAGCAGGTGTGGGCAGCGGCCTTGAGGGTCTGTGTCTTCCCCTCTCCCCTTGTGCGGGGACCAAATCCTGCCCTTTCCCAGGAACGGCGCCTCCTCTCCCTCCTCGTTCAGGTTCTCACTTTCCCGCCGGAGGCACAGCACCCCTGCCTCCCGGATTCGTGACTCACGTTCCCTCTTGACCAAATTGGAACCCCTCTGCCTGGTGCGGAAGGTCCCGGGCGGCTGGGCTCCAACCACGGACTCTGGACCTACCTGCCTTGCTCCCCTCCTCTCCGCCTCCCGAACCCGGTCCTCTCCGCCCACCTGGTCGCCCACAGCCCGGCCGAGTCAGAACCCACCCCAGGGCTGTCCGAGAGCTGTGAGGCCGGGACAGGGCCTGCTCCGCAGATGAGGCTCCGGGCAGATGAGGGTCCCGGGGCAGGCGAGGGTCCGGGGCAGACGAGGGTCCCGGGGCAGATGAGGCTCCGGGGCAGAGGAGGCTCCGGGGCAGAGGAGGCTCCGGGGCAGAGGAGGCTCCGGGGCAGAGGAGGCTCCGGGGCAGAGGAGGCTCCGGGGCAGAGGAGGCTCCGGGGCAGAGGAGGCTCCGGGGCAGAGGAGGCTCCGGGGCAGAGGAGGCTCCGGGGCAGAGGAGGCTCCGGGGCAGAGGAGGCTCCGGGGCAGAGGAGGCTCCGGGGCAGAGGAGGCTCCGGGGCAGAGGAGGCTCCGGGGCAGAGGAGGCTCCGGGGCAGAGGAGGCTCCGGGGCAGAGGAGGCTCCGGGGCAGAGGAGGCTCCGGGGCAGAGGAGGCTCCGGGGCAGAGGAGGCTCCGGGGCAGAGGAGGCTCCGGGGCAGAGGAGGCTCCGGGGCAGAGGAGGCTCCGGGGCAGAGGAGGCTCCGGGGCAGAGGAGGCTCCGGGGCAGAGGAGGCTCCGGGGCAGAGGAGGCTCCGGGGCAGAGGAGGCTCCGGGGCAGAGGAGGCTCCGGGGCAGAGGAGGCTCCGGGGCAGAGGAGGCTCCGGGGCAGAGGAGGCTCCGGGGCAGAGGAGGCTCCGGGGCAGAGGAGGCTCCGGGGCAGAGGAGGCTCCGGGGCAGAGGAGGCTCCGGGGCAGAGGAGGCTCCCGGGGCAGATGAAGCTGCCACTCGCCCTTCCGCCTGGCCCCGCGTCCTGGTCCCGAGACGCCCAACCGACCGACCTCCTCTCTGAGCCTCGGCCTCGGCCTTCCGGTCTCAGGGACTGGCTGGGGCCGGCGGGGAGCCCCCACACACCTTCTTCCCAGGAACCCGGTCTCTCCCCTCCAAGCAGGAAAACCACGTTCTAAGAGCCTCCCGGACGGACCTCCCACACGCGGCTCTCACCCGCCTGGGCCCCTGAGAGCCATCTTTCCGGGGCTGGG